AGTACATTGTTTACAAGTCACTAAAATTATTGAGAATAAAATTATAGAATTTTCAAAGTGTAACAAATGTAGAAAATGTCTATTTTGCCCCCCAAAAATCCGCAGTCTAATTAAAACCGAGCTTCTACTGTATTTATTACGTGCAACAATGAATTGGATATTATTTTTATCATAACGTATTCCTTTCCACGGAACTAACAAGCGATACATTTGCTATCGTTATAAATTCTAGAGCAAATTTGCCACTTAAAAATATGCAAGTCATATGCTGTTATATTTAGAACACACGCACGCACGCACGCACGCACGCACGATATTACTACTCATAATCTCCCTAGTACACATACGCTAAATTACTAGGAGGCATGCCATTGTCTCTCACATTGCTTGATAACGATCTTGAGTTACAATTAATACACCGCGTAATTGTATAACTTTTTTTGGAGTATTTCCGTACGCCTCTAAGTAATTGGAAATAGTATAACCAATAATAATTCCGATTTTTCCCTGACATTTTCAAGTTATTAGATTCAACGAGGATCTGCGAACTACGATAAATTTCTATTTCTGTTTCTATTTTTTAATTAGCGGCGCTTTTGTAACGCAACAGTGACAATTAATTAGGATCATGCATCATACATTTTCAGCTGCATAGAATTCGATAATGCGAAACAAAGTGATCGCGTATTCGTATTTATACTATTTAATACAAGTTTTTAATACAAGTTTCTCATACTACTATACTAGTTCACGTAATTCAGATTCGTCGTAATCGTAATTAAAGAAACGTGCCAACTGTACAGCTAGCAAAACTCGTCGGCTTTAATGAGAGCATCAAGACATGGCACGTTATCGTTGTCGTCCGACTCGTGATCCATAAACGAAGGATATTCCGCAAATTCGAGCTAATTTACTTAATGGAAGAAAAACTAAAAAGTTGGAGGTCATCGTGATGATCGTACGTCCATCATATGTCTTGTTTCATGGAAATCTTAATTAAATTCAATACACGCTCCCTACTGTTTTCTTTACGACCTTTTTTATAATTTGATCTGCCGACGATAAGCACATTCGTTGTACACAAAATATTGCGCGAGTTTCAAAGATCATGGTTCGATCAGAAGGCCGGTAATAATAGTCATTTTTAAGAAGTTTTTCCTCTTCGAAATCGTTAATTTAGTTTTTGGAAACGATAGTTTTTTATATTTAAAACGGTTTATTTTTTTTATTGCCTCGTAACTGTTCGACCATGAGAAAATCCTTCGTGCCAGATATAAATAATGTAATATATTACATAAAGTTGAGTTTGTAATTTCAGATGAACCTGTGTATATGTATAATAATATAATATTATATAATAATATTAATATATATTTCATATTATATTATTATTAATATATTATATAATAATATTAATATATATCTTATATTATATTATTATTAATATATTATATAATAATATTAATATATATCTTATATTATATTATTATTAATATATTATATAATAATATTAATATATATTTTATATTATATTATTATTAATATATTATATAATAATATTAATATATATTTTATATTATATTATTATTAATATATTATATAATAATATTAATATATATTTTATATCATATGATTATTAATATTAATATAGTATATAATAATATTAATATATATTTTATATTATATTATTATTAATATATTATATAATAATATTAATATATATTTTATATCATATGATTATTAATATATTATATAATAATATTAATATATATTTTATATTATATTATTATTAATATATTATATAATAATATTAATATATATTTTATATCATATGATTATTAATATATTATATAATAATATTAATATATATTTTATATTATATTATTATTAATATATTATATAATAATATTAATATATATTTTATATCATATGATTATTAATATATTATATAATAATATTAATATATATTTTATATTATATTATTATTAATATATTATATAATAATATTAATATATATTTTATATCATATGATTATTAATATATTATATAATAATATTAATATATATTTTATATTATATTATTATTAATATATTATATAATAATATTAATATATATTTTATATCATATGATTATTAATATATTATATAATAATATTAATATATATTTTATATTATATTATTATTAATATATTATATAATAATATTAATATATATTTTATATCATATTATTATTAATATATTATATAATAATATTAATATATATTTTATATTATATTATTATTAATATATTATATAATAATATTAATATATATTTTATATCATATGATTATATATATTAATATAGTATATAATAATATTAATATATATTTTATATTATATTATTATTAATATATTATATAATAATATTAATATATATTTTATATCATATGATTATTAATATATTATATAATAATATTACGTATATACAATATAATACCGAAATATACGAATACAAATTTTACTACAAATACTAATACAATATTACAGTACAATATAAAAAAAATCAACATATTTGAGTATAATACAGGGCATCCAAAAATTATATTACTTCAAAAAAATTAGGGGTACCTAAGATCATTCGAAGTAACATTTTCCTCAGCAAAGATACAATCAGCAGCTTTGTTCGCGAATTATTAACGAAAATAAGAACGAACAATCGGTCGAGGCCCAGTTCCGATCATTCCACAATAAACATTAATTTTCCAAAAATCGCTGGGACACGCGCGTACCGCCAAGCTCGGAAGGGTCCAACGTTGAAGGCTTGGCTTGTTCAGGGATTAGGGGATAACCCCGGTCGAGCCAATGAAACGGAAAGTTCGCGAACTTTCCACGGCGGCCCTTCCGAAAGCGTGAAAGTTCCCTCACGGTAATCCTCCTGACTGACGATCATTGTGAGCCAGTTCCGTTCAGTGACCTACAGTAGGTCAGACACTGTCGTGACGTATCTAGGTCAAAGAACCAGTTCAACAACTTGAAACGATCGCCGCGTCCGACAGACCGTCTGTTGACGCCGGCTCGGTGACGTCAGCCGAGCCTATTCTCGACGCGAAGCCGTAGCTTTATCCACGTTGTAAAAATAACGAGCGAGCCGCTTTACAATCGGCCGTGAAACGATAGCCGTTCAATAGAATCGATTCGGCTGAACGCAGACGGCCGGGCCGGGTCGGGCCGGGTCGAGTCGGGCCCGCCTGCACAACGGCACGCGGCTGGCTAACGGCGCGCCGTTTAGAAGAACGGCTTCTTCTTTTCTCTTTTTTCCTTTTCCTTTTTTTATTAGCTCCCAGGAACCGGTGATCGAACGATCTCTTACTTGATAATGAGAATCCGCCGCGATCCGCCGCCGCGATCCGCCGCCGAGGGGCTCCCATGCAAATGTTTTATGCAAATGCGCTGAACCAATTGTCCTGAACGGCTCTCCAATTCTTTTGACGATCCTGTGATTCGTGATTAGCGGAATGAGGAGAATAGAAGAGGATGGAGAAATGGAATTGAAGGAGACACGGTTCCCTGGGGGATCGCTCGTTGCCAGATCCGCGATCCGTTGAAATATTCATAGGCCGAAGTTGTTTTAACTGTAATTTACAGTTACAAGGGCTTGGCTATATAGCCGGTTCCGTCTTAATATGCCATTAACCCTTCACCGGGCTATCGAATTTGGTTTGTAAAATGCAACAACTCGATTAACCTGGTATTCCAGTTCGGAACTTCGGAAAAATCGATCTTTCGATTTCTGTGTCGCTCGAAAGTACGGTAATGTCTCCCTAACTGACGCTCAGATCGTGCACAAAAATGGACGATTCTTGGAAGAGGAGATACGATTATTATTGACATAACCTTCCAGCTCGTTTTTATAGTTGTTGACAATTCGTGACTATAAAAATGGACCACTTCTTAAATTGCCCATTTTTGTGGACGATCTGAGCGTCAATTAGAGAGACATTTTACTATACTCCTTCCGACGATAACGTCGACGGAAAAATTGTATACTATTCGTGAGAAAAACGACGGGGTTTATTATTATTATTATTATTATTATTATTATTATTATTAGTAGTAGTAGTAGTAGTAGTAGTAGTATTAGTATTAGTATTAGTATTAGTATTAGTATTAGTATTATTAAATATTATTTTTATTATTATTATTATTATTATTATTATTATTATTATTATTATTATTATTATCAGTATTAGTATTAGTATTATTAATTATTATTATTTTTATTATTATTATTATTATTAATTTGTAAGAGAATCCTTCGAGAATGGTTTGGAAAACTGGCGGTGCAAAACTCGCGAACAACGCGAAATTTGCGTCCTAAATAATTCGTCAAATTTTACGAGACAAGGCTAACTTTAAGAAGAATCGTTCCTCGATTAGATTATGCTTCTTGCGAACTAGCTCATAGAAATTTATGTCGTTGCGAAGATTCGTGATCCGGCCATTGACATAAAGTGGTTAACGTCGTGTCTCTGTTTCGTTTTCAGAGTTCGAGTCGAATACTACGTCAATGAAAACACGTTCAAGGAAAGGCTTCAACTGTATTTCATCAAGAACCAACGTTCCAGTAAGTATATTCTATAACTCCGGCGATCTTAACACTGAACCTACCGAGGTCTAAAAGCGACTAAAATTGTTCATAATTTTTATGATAGCTTGTGCCTCAGCAAAGAAAGATATTCAACAGTATTTAATCGAAGCAGCTTTATGATAATTATGAAATGAAAAATGTAGAACGACGACGATAGGTTTAGCGTTAAGTTACTGTTTTAGGCGAATCAGTCGCTCGCACTATACCTTTCATAAGTTCTCACACTCATGGTTGCGTAGAATACAGGCAAATTGTTCATACGAAAGTGTTCTTCTAGGCTTATTTTCATTTTATAAGTAATCCGACAATTCCATTGGATATACAGATATATATCTGTATATAGGTATATAGGTATATGTATTCAAAATTATGGTACCTGCGGGAAATGAGAGATTCCTGAGATCATTTGAAGCAACTTTTTCCTTAGCAAAAATGCGATCTGCCCTTTCGTTTACGAGTTATTAACGAAAAACGGTGACCAATGAGAGGCGAGATCAGCTGTCGCGAGGCGGCCGAGCATCAGCTGAACTGGGCTTCGACCGCCGCGCGACGACTGATCTCGCTCCTGATTGGTCAACGTTTTTCTTTAATAACTCGTCAACGATGCCTCGGAGAAAATTCTCGCAAAGGAAAAAGTTGCTTCAAACTACCTCAGGAATCCCTCATTTCCCTGTAACACCATAATTTTGGGACACCCTAATTTCTTCGAAAGATAATTCAGCAATTCTTAACGACGACTCAGAGTCGCCATTTCGAGCGCAAAGATCCAATTGCTTCGGATTCGTCGAACGTCCAATATTTCTTCCCGAATCGGACACGTCGATATTACGAGATTTCGATAACAATGTCGCCGGAACGCGGTCTATACAAGCTCTCGAACTCCTAAATTAATTCCCTCGCCGAAGTTCGACGCGAGATTACGGTCTCCTGTGGAACGGGCACTCGAGGACTGCCACGCGAAAAGATCGTTTACTCTCTATCGACATCTGCCACTCGGGCTGATCGTCAAGCTTTTTGATCCTAAAAGAGTTCACGGCACCGGAAATTTCTCTCTAAGACACGTAACTCGTTGCATGCCGGCGCAACGTAATTTCGGGAAGGCAGTGATATCGTGGCAGGCACAGACGGGCCACGTAGACGTCCGCCGGCAAGACATAATCTTTTGAAACCGTTGGCACCAGCCGATAACGGATCCCGTTGCCGATACCAGACTCAATTCCTCGCGTATCGACCATCGCGCGACAGCCACGTCGTCGTCCTACACGAAACCATGAAAACGACGTCGACGTCGCGCGCCGAGCAACGGTTTCTCGCAACACCACCGCGATTAAAATAATCTGTCTGGGGATGGCGCTGCTGGATGTCGATAACCTTCGACATATTTTCTTTGATCGAGTGATAAGTTTCCCCCCAGCCTGGCTGTCGGTTTTTCTACCGGAACGGAACGTGCGCCGCGATTTGTCGCGCGACGACTGCAACAGGGAATAGGCGCTGCAAAAGGGACACGTATCGAAAGGAACATCGTAAATATACGAAAGAGAGAACTGTTCGGAGCGATCGCTTTTTTTTAGTTTCGTTTTTTTAGCGACATTCGTGTCCACGCATTCGCACCTCGGGCAGGGCAGATTGTTACTATATGATAGCTGATTACTGTGCCTTTTTAGCATGCTTTCAAGCGTAATTGACTTTATATTTATCGAACGAGATATATTGAATTTTTCGGTTTAAATTCGACGGATTATTATAATATAGTATAAAGCAAAAATTTATTGATAAGAGGACAATGATAAGAGGACCTTTTGCTTGAAATTATTTTTATAATTTTTATTATTTTATCATATTATTATTATATTATTATATTATTATATATATTATATAATTATATATAATATAATATATATATATATATATTATATTATTATATTATTATTATATTATTATTATTTTATTATATATATTATATATATTTTATTATTATATTATTATTATATTATTATTATTTTATTATATATATTATATATATTTTATTATTTATTATTTTATCATATTTTATTATAATTATTATTTTAATTTATCGAGGTCTATTGATATTTGTAACCAACACTGTGTTAGTGTTTTCTCATAGAAACACGCATCTGTGAAATATAACAATGGTGTACACTTTTCACACAGATTTTCTATAGAATAGCTTCCTTTTTGCTTGTTGCAGGTTTGAGGATACGATTGGCAAATCTGTTTTTTAAACTCCTAACATGCTTCTTATACATATTCAGAGTCATCACCGACAGCGATCCAACGTATGCAGCATGGTGAGTGGATAATATGTACAGAAAATAATTAGACCATATTTTCATAGTTATAAATAATTATAGTTACATACACGCGTTATATTCGGAAATGTTAAATTCTCGAGATTTGTACAAATCTTGTTACATAAATAATTCAGCTATTCGATTATCTTGTTGCAAAATGATGACGCGGAATTTTCCGACAAATCAAATACAGTTTCCTTAAATAAAAGAAAAACATTTAAATAATATTAGATATAGTAATATTAAATATCCGCATAATGTTTGACGTTAGATGCGTCGTCCAGCGTGTAAGAAACGCGACAACTTTTATTCCACATGCTTGCAGACGAATATCAATAAATAAAAAAAGTCATTCTCTTTCGAAGCGATGTTTCGTCGGAAAACATGTTTCTATGGTGTCGTCGCGATTTACGCGATACACGTACAGGCTGATGTCACAATTTTCAAGTTGATTAAGTTTCTTCGACGCGGCGTGTAGTCGCTGAAAATTTCACTGTGCCTGCGCCGTGCTTGCCTGTTCGAGCATAAAATCTTTATTTTTTTTAATTTCGTACTGTTTCATCGGGGACGTTCCGCGAAAAGAGAGACAACGCCGGAAGAATTCCTTCGCAGAACAGAGAGAAACGTTTCCGCTCGCGATTCGCGACCAACGTTCGCGCGAGATTGCGATATTTTGCCGAATGGCTATCGCGGTCTGACAATAAAACTGCAATAAGATTTCGCGGTCAAAACGGTATTGCATTTTTTCGCCGCAAGTTTTTAAGAATTACAGTACTCGTTAAAAGATAAGATTTCAAGGGATCCACTGCACATCTATTCCTCTGGGTGCTTCTTTTTTTATAAGAATTTCACTCCATTCGTACATTACGCATTATCTCCAAAAAAGGACAAATTTACCATCCAGAATTTTTTCTTATTTCTCATTTTTTCCTTTTTGTTCTATTATTTTAGATTTTCCCATTTTTTATCCCATTATTTCTCATTTTCTATTTGTTATCGCGTATTCGCGACTTTATTTATATATTTATTTATTTGCTTCGTCTTCAAACTTATGTGAAATTTTCAATTCTCAACAAATGTCGCACTATTTCTTTATTTGTTAATGCTTTTTTCGTAAGTGCATCGTGAATCTTTGCGGATATCTCTTTCGTGGATATCGATATACTTTTTATGAATATAAGCATTTTAAATGAATGAATTTTAAAATGAATTTTAAATGAATAAATTTTCAATGAATTTTAAACACGAATATGATACATAAAGATTTGATTGTTTCGCGTATCAACGATTTGCAAATTCAAATGAATTTTCATAAAATGTGCGTTCCGTATGCAAAAGCACATCGAATAATTCAAAGTATGTACAATTATAGTATTGAAATCTTCACAGAATCTTGATTTCTTTCATGATCTCTGAATTATCTAATGTATCGGTGCTGAAAGGACAGTTATCTTTGAACAATTTTTGAACAGTTCACGATGACAAGTAAATATGCATAACGACGTGCGATATTAATGTTGGCAAAATAAAATGGTCGTCAATATAAAAATATTAGAATGCAATACAGTGCAATACATGTGAAATACAGTGCAAACATGTTACTATATAATTATATAGTAAACTTTCTTAACATAGGACAACTATGTTATAAAAATATTAGAATGCAATACAGTGCAAACATGTTACTATATAATTATATAGTAAACTTTCTTAACATAGGACAACTATGTTATAAAAATATTAGAATGCAATACAGTGCAAACATGTTACTATATAATTATATAGTAAACTTTCTTAACATAGGACAACTATGTTATAAAAATATTAGAATGCAATACAGTGCAAACATGTTACTATATAATTATATAGTAAACTTTCTTAACATAGGACAACTATGTCATAAAAATATTAGAATGCAATACAGTGCAATACATGTGCAATACAGTGCAATACAGTGCATGCAGTGCAAACATGTTACTATATAATTATATAGTAAACATTCTTAACATGAGACAACTATGTCATAAGAAGATTAGAATGCAATACAGTGCAATAAAGTGCATACAGTGCAAACATGTTACTATATAATTATATAGCAAACTTTCTTCACATAGAACAACTATGTCAGTCCAACTTTATCATAATCTTTTAATCCTTTTTACTTAAAAGAATTTGTATTTACTTTTCATTACTATTTTCATTTGTCGTATGCACTAAATAAAACAATATTGCCATATAAACAATACGTTATATGCTTTGCCATAATATGTACTTTCTCTCTCTCTCTCTCTTTCTCTCTCTCTCTCTCAATTATATAT